GAATTCTCCTGCTCAACTCACCACAGTGAATTGATGGAATCCTGCCAGCTTCTGGACATACACAGATTGAAAAGAATTCTGTCAAGTACTACTCAGATGTTTGTGCTAAGTCTCAAATGCTGCCTGTACATTTAGAATGACCTATTAAGAAACAAATGGAGGACTTGCAGAGAACATGGCAAATAGATAACAACAGCTGGCTCTCTGAGATAGCCAGCTTAGAATCCAGGAATGGTGTGATGTGGGGAGTCCTAAGCAGGGGGTGATATTCCCTGCTGACCCAGGAATGAACTGAGCTGAGAGAAACCAACTGGAAATGCAATCCCAGTGCTAGGACCGGAACAGATAAAATCTCAGTGCCAAAGATGGAACCCACACCTCTGGAAACCGCGATTTGAATTTCCTGTTGCCACTGCTGCATCTGAATCCACACAGCAGGGATAGAGACGTGAAAGCTCTGAGAGTGGGAATTAGTGAAGCAAATTGAGAGTGGAACTGATGAGGAGCCCTGCATTGATCTGTGGTGAATGAGAAGAACGGGGACCCCTCCATAGATAAAGAGGCTCCAACAGAGGACATTTTGGGACCAGGCAGACTGGCCAGAAGAGGACACTGCAGTGACTTCAGTCACATATTCCCCATTCAAGCGGGAGTGGAGGGAGCACCTGACCTGGGTGACACCATGAAATAAGATCCAGGAGGCTAGCACAAACCAGGTCCCTGTGCTTAGCTGTGCACACTAGTAGTGAAGCCTTCAGTAAGTTGACCTGGAGAGGCAGGCCCAATATACGCTGCCCTGGTCTGTGTCTCCCAAGTACACTGCAGTGGGTGGGAACACCTAGCCAGCACAATTCAAACAAACTGTAACCCACAAAGAAAGAAACTGGGCCTCCTATATATGCTTGTATGAAAGGAACAAAAAATATGAGAAGAGGAGGCAACAAGAAAGGGTCCTTGGCCCCCAATCCTGAGAAGACTGATGCAGGAAAGGTAAATGCAAAGGAGAATGAGGACAGAAAAATGCAATATCAGATATGGCACCAATAGACATAAAGCAATATCTCTGCAGGCCATAGACAAGTTCAAAAGTGAAGTATGTAATGAAGCAAAGCAAGATATAAGTAGAATAGTTTGAGAAATGCTAAGCACTGTCCAAGGGAAAAAAAAAGATGGTGGAATGGAAGAACAGAATAAAAGGGGAGAATTGTTTGATGGAGAAAAAGAGAAAACATAGAATACATGAAGCAGGTTCAAAGAGATTACCAGGAAACTAAAATCTCTATTGAAAGCTGGCATAACAGCTTGAAAGAAACAGGACAGATTATCTGAACTGGAGGACAGATTTGTAATGTGGGAGCAAGACAGGAAAAACTTCTTAAAAATAACAAGGAAACAAACAGCAATAATAATTATTATTATTAACTTAATTATTAAGAACATAAAGGAAGAAGTATGGAAACAAACAAATGAACTACAAAGGCTATTCACATAAATAATCCAGAAGAATTTCCCTAATTTAGCAAAAGGTAAAGATACTCATATGTATGAGGCATACAGGACCCCAGCCACCTACAACCCAAACAGAAGTACACCCAGGCATATAGCAATCAAAATTCCAGAAATCCAATATAAAAACAATATTAAAAACCATCGGAGACAAGAAATAGATCACTTACAAGGGAACACCCATCAGAATTACAGCAGACTTCTCAGCACAAACCATCAAATCATGAAGAGCGTGGGGTGAAATAATTCAAGTTTGAAAGATAATTATCTCCAGCCAAGATTGGTATATCCTGCACAACTGTCCATAGAAATTAATGGAGAAACAAGGTGCTTCCAGGATAAAGATAAACTAGAGGAATTTGCAACCACCAATTCAACTCTACAGAGAACACTGCAGGACATTCTAAAAGAGAAAAATAACATGATTCCAAAAACAGTAACAGAGAGGCCACAATGAATGGAGCAGAAAGCGAAATGAAGAAGACAAACTGAGAACTAATGAGCGAAAAAGAGCTCAATAGAAATGAGGCAGAGAAGGTTGGATATAATTTCTAATATAGATGGCCTAGATACCCTAACTTCAGGGGAAAAAATAGAGAATAGCAGGCAGAGTGGATCAAGAGATAGGGTCCACTGAGAGGCTCTTTATAGGAAATATAATTAGCCCAAAGAAGGTTACATGGACCAAAATCAAACATAAGAAAATGAAACTTTATGTGACAGGGAACCAGAGAGTAATAGGGGTAACTGGACCAGTATATATAGATAGATTGAACAGACAGGCTTTAATAAATGAAGAAATATAACTAGAAATCCAGCCCAGGAGTGAGAAAGTTCAGAAACACTTAAGTAAATAACAGGTTGCCCCCCCAATACAAACTGTGAGTGTTGGGGAGATCCAAAAATACACAGGTCATTCTGAGAGAGTAAAAGGGAGGAATAGTTCCAAAAAAAAAAAAACAGCAGAAGATATAAGTGTATCAGCAATTAAAACCCTTATTACTCACACCACTCTGCTTGGTTGGAACTCGTTCTGTCCTACTTTGTATACAAGCATTGGATCTCAGGGGCACGGATGGCTGTCCATAGTATAGGGGACATCTTAAATTCCCTATTAACTCAATCAGGATCCATGTATGACTTATACTGCTATATCATGACTAATCTTAGTTAAATCTGACTTGTTTGATTGCTGCTTATTATTGACAGATTTTATTCAAAACCTGTAAGGTTGATGGCAACAAGTTGAGGAATACACACACCTAATGAAAATGACAATGGTTCACTATGATATCCACTCTGATTTGATTACTAGCTGTTTTTGTAGCTCTACACTATCTATAAAGTTGTATTTCTGTTAATTCTGTTATGTACTGATATGCTCAATTATACTTTATCTGATGATATAGCAAATTCTGTTGATGATAACAAGAAATAGCACAGTGACCAGGATAGAATTCCTTATACAGGAGATTTATCTGTCTTTTTATTTTTATATGTCTATAGGAAAAATTTTAGTTCTGTCTTGCTTTGTTATGTTTTTCCCTCTAACAAAGAAAGGATAGAAATACATGTTAAGATTCAAGCTTATGTAAAACCTATAAACAGTTTATGAGCACTGAGCTGATGGCACATGATGAAATGAACAAAAACTTTGAAAGAAAGTGGCATTGCAGTACCCAATCTTGATTTTGGAGTGTTATGTGAAATCTGGCAATATTATTCATCTTTTTCAGAAGTATTTAATCTAATATGCTGTTAGGTCTCAGCATAAATGAAGATATGGATAAACACATACATGTCTAAGTGTATAGGATTGATAGCCATAATACTTAGTTTTTGTTGGATAGTTGAACAGAACTATTTGCAGTCTCCCTGGTTGAAATCCCGTTTATATGTTCCACTTGTGTGCCTTGAACAACTATTTATAGGGGGACAATATGTATGCAGCAGTTAGTGATTTATTACTGTCTATTTCTTTTCTTTGAAAGTATGTACTATTTCTGCTGATTTTCTATTTTGTTCTGTCTTTCTTTAAATAAAAAAAGAAACAAATGGAGAAAATAAACCTTATGGAATCCATGTGTCCCTCTTGTCACAGTAGAAAAATCCATTGTTGATGCTAAAAATACATTAATCGTTTTGCTTAAAAGATAGGTTTTTTTGGATGTGTAATTTTTGTCAGCATCTAACTATTTTGTACCCTACATGTTTAACAATGAATTTCAGAAAATGTTGATTTGAAAAATTGTTCTCTGAAGATATTTCCAATTTAGTGGCTGTCATATATATTGGCATTGTGCTTTAGAGCATACTTTCCCATATAATGAATTAGGATTTAGAGTAGTCAGAATTTGTATTCTTCCATCATTAGTGTTGTGCCTATGGCTTTGTCATTAGAATTTGTAAAATGCTCACCAGGACAGTTGGATAATCTCTCTGATTTGTATTTATAATGGAATTTTATAGCCGATTACAAAGAAAAATCCCCCAACAATATCTAAGAAAGTCCCACATTAGTAAGAGATTCATTTGCACATAAAAGTTCTGAGAATATAGTAGTCCTTGTTCACAGAGTGATTGAAAACATCTCTCCTGTTTCACCTTCTTTCTGGACTATTAAGCCAGCCATAATATACTACACGGCAGTGGTGGTGAACTATGATGCACGTGCTGCAGCAGGCTGTTTGTATCATTGAAAGCTCTAAATGGTTCACCATTACTGCACTAAAGATTTAGCAACAGTGAAAACTAGGATGCAAACAGTTACTTTAAATTGTAACCATGATCTAAGACTCCCATTTTTTCTCCCTTCTTATTTCCTGACTGCTCAGCATGCTTCTTCTCACTGGCTGTGAAATGTTGGCTCTGGGATTTTCATCTTAGTCTCCTCTGGATCCTTTGATCCTTCATACACTTTTCTTTATTATATGAAGTTTGGCCTGTCTGCCTTCATGAAACTTACTTTAATTTACCTATCTGACTCAGAAAAATCCTTCCAATATTTGTAAGAATTCCTCATCTTAGGACTTGGCCTAACAATAAACAGCTGTTTCTACAGATGTCATGCAACGCTAGTCATTCTTAAACAGTGATAAATGTTCAACCAAACTATTTAGGAAATGCTGACACATTTAAACTTTAATTGGCTTAAAGGTAGAAAATCAAATTCAAGATGCTTCCAGGGTGACAATTAAAAGTATCACAAGATCTCAGTCTTTGAAATCTTTATTCAATCTTCATGAAAGACACACTACTGCAAAACAGAGTGCAAAATGATAAGGATTATCATTTATGAAAACGTAAGTGTGATTTTTAGCAGTCCTCCAAAGCTTTTTTTTCCTTCCTCCTTTATGCCATCAGTTGAGTGTTTTGCTTGAAGATCTAGGTGGTAGCACTTTTGCAAAATGAGGATGGGCAGAATAATGTAACTGGGAAACCAAACACTAGGGGAGGAGGCAAGGCAATAGGTGTAATGAGATCCCCATTGAAACTCAGAGGTGGAGGAGATTAAAAAAATGAGTATTTGAGCCAAGTATACCCAGAACACAGAAAAACAAAGGTCTAGGCTTTGTCCAATTATCCACAAGATGTCCTAGGCATCTGTGTAGGAAAGAAACATCAGCCAGCTTTATGTTACAGCCCATTCTAGTGTTTCTTGGAGGCACCTCTATTGTTACTCCTGATCTCAGGGTGGACATGCATGGAGGGGCTCTTACTTGTTGGCTCCTAGGTAGAAAGAACAGAGGGCCTTGTGACAAAGCCATATGTAACCTTGTATAATGGCTACCCTTCTCAGTAACCCAGTTGCTAACTCTTGTGCCCCCCTAACCATCACTGCCAGAGGACTGCCAAATACTGTCTTAGACACATTAATAGAATCCTAATTTTTCTGCCTATATTCTGCCAGAAACTGGGAATTATTTATTTCTCTGTTGCTAGCATATCTTTCACAACAGCTGTTGGTAGCCCACAGGGGTGATTGAGAGTTCTCGAAAGGTCCAGAATGAAGGAGCCTGTTTTCTCAGATGAGCCCTCCAGTTTATGTCGTTCCAGAGCTGTCAGCAGACTGAAAGGAGGTCTCAGTATGTGATGACAGTGTCTCCAGGACTTCATATCATCCTTCTCATTCTTTGGAATGGAGTTGAGATACTGGATGCTAATATCATGTTGCAGACTCCTGGTTCCATTTTTATCCACAGCTGCCACTATTGAGGAAGGGACATCTTCCGAAAGACTTATTTTTTTTTATCTTTTAGAGACAGAGTCTCACTGTTCAGTTCAGGCTGGCCTTGAGGTCACTTTGTAGCCCAGGCTGGCCTTGAACTTGCAATGATCCTCCTGCCTCAGCCTCCCAAGTGCTGTGATTACAGGCATGAGCCACCACACCAGGCTTGCAAGACTTGTTTAAAAAAATAAATAAATAGGACCACCTTCTCTCTGCCTTGAGAGCACACTCTAGCTGCCCCATCTGGAAGAGGGAGCTGAGCCACCTGCAGGAACCTGCTCCAGCCTTGTTGACCATCTTCTCTCTGCCCAGAGGGCATGCTGCAGCTGCCCCACCCAGAGGAGGGAGCTGGGTTGAGCCATGGGAACCTGCTCCCGCCTTGCCTGAGACCTTCTCTCAGACTGGAGAGCACCCGCACTACTGCCACCACCTGGAGGAGGGAGCAGCACTGTGGAGGAGGTATGAGGCCTACCTAGGCCATAGGTGTGACCTTCTATCAGCCAGGGGAGCTTTGACACCCAAGGAGGTGGATGGTTACACAACATCCTATCCCCAGGAGAGTATGAGATCCTTGCTGTAGTTGGTTTGGGACCTGCTGGGCTTGCAACCACACTAGATTGGGCTTAGCGGGATTTGGGCCTGCCTGGACCACACCTGGTGGCCTTCTTTCCATCAGGGGAGCTTTGCTGCCAGAGGAGGGAACTGTGAGGCTTGAGGAGGCTTTAGGCCTACCTGAGATGAGGCTGGCAACATTCTTTTAATCCAGGAGCCTCACTGCCCAGGGTGGAAGCTACACTACCAGAGGAGTCCCAGGAGCCCAAACATAGGAGACTATTTCCAACATGCCCAGGGAAAGCTTTGAAACAACACATGAAACATGGAAATATAGGAAAATGACAAAACAAAAGACCAAAATGCAAACTCAAACCCAATCCAAGAAAGCCTGAGAGCCATGTATATAGAAAAAAATACATACCATATGCCTGAAATACCTGAAATAATAGTAACTGGAATAAGGAAGCAACTCTAGGAAGCTTTAAAGGAATTCAAATGAGAAATAACTTCCAGGTAAAAGAAGAAATCACAAAAGTAATGACAGAGGTGCTGAACACATCTAAAGAAGATATAGTTTAAAAATCAGAGGATAAAGAGTCCCTGAATGAACAATATAAGAAACAAACAGAATACATAAATCAGATTCAAAGAGATACAGAGGAAATCAAAAATTACATTGAATGTTGTAAAAACTACCTCAATGAAAGTGAAGATGGAATTTCAGATCTCAAAGACAAGATTGTAGCTAGTGAACAGAAAAGGAAATGGATCTTAAAAATAACAAGGAATCAGGAAATAACAATTCAACACTGCAAGATGACTCAAAGAAAAACAACATAAAATTGATAGGGATAAATGAAAAAGGAGGGGAGAACACAAATGATATCAAGAGTCTATTGATGGAAGTAACAGCTGAAAATTTCCCAAACTTGGGAATGGAAACTGACATTAGGATTAGTGAAGCATATAGAGCTCCAAATAGCTATTATCAATGCAAAATTACACCCAGACATATGATAATCACCATCCAAGAAATCAATCATAAAAATAGAATATTCAAAGCTGTCAGAGAGAAAAGACAGATAATCTATAAAGGAAAGCCTATCAGAATCACAGGCGACTTCTCAACACAAACAATGAAGTCAAGAAGAGCATGGAGTGAAGTATTTCAGATCCTAAAGGAAAATGACTTCCAACCTAGACTGATTTACCCAGAAAAACTGTCCTTCAAAATAGATGGAGAAATAAGATACTTCCATGACAAAGAACATCTGTATAACATTGTGATCACCAAGCCAACCCTGAAAAGAATACTGAAAGAGACTTTAGATGCACATAGGAAAAAAAAAACAAACAAAACAATAAAAAAGACAGACAACTAAACAGATTGGAAAGATAAAGATTCAAAAGAAGAAAGATAATAAGTCAACAATAAGCCAATATATAACAGGTATAACCATCAATGTAAATGTTCTCAATTCATCAATTAAAAGAAACAGACTGGCAGAATGGATCAAGAAACAATATCCAACCACATGCTGTCTACCAGAAACCCATATAACCCAAAAGGAAACTCACAGACTGAAAGTCAAAGGATGGAAAATGATACCTCACGCAATGGGAAACCCAAAAAAAGCTGGGGAAGCTATCCCGTTTGCAGATAATGTGAATTTCAAACCAAGAATGATCCTAAGAGATGAAGAAGGTTATTACATGCTGGTTAGGGGAAAACTTCAAGAGGAAGAGATAACTGTCTTAAATATATGTGCACCAAATTCCAGAGCATCCAGTTATACAAAGCATGCATTAATAGAAATGAAAAATCATATTAATAGTAACACAATTATGACAGGAGAACTTAACACACCATTGAGTCCAAGGGACAGATCAACCACAGAAAAAATCAGCAAAGAAATAACAGAACTGAATCATACATATGAACAAAGAGACTTGATAGACACATACAGTGTTCCATCCAACATCATCAGAATATACATTCTACTCAGCGGTACATGCGACATTATCTAAAATAGACCACATACTAACTCACAGAACATAGTTAAATAAATGCAAAAGAGTTGAAATTATCCCATGCATGTTATCAGGTCATAGCACCATGAAACTAGATATTAATGATAAAAGAAACTGTAAAAACCCTACAAAAACATGGAAATTGAATAACACACTCTTGGGAAATCAGTGGGTCACTGGGGAAATTAAAGAAGACATTAAACAATAACTATAAGAATATAAAAATACAAATACAATTTACCATAATCTGTGGGATGCAATGAAAGCAATCCTCAGAGGAAGATTTATTGCACTGAATTCCCAATCAGGAAAACAAAACGGATACAAATAAACAACCTGATGCTACACTTCAAACGTTAGAAAAAGAAGAGCAAGTCAAGTCCAAAGCCAAAAAAGGGAGGAAATCATAAAAATCAGAACAGAAATTAATACAATAGAGACTAAGAAAACAATCCAATGAATCAATGAATCAAAGAGTTGGTTCCTTGAAAGAATAGATAAAATTCATAAGCTCCAACCAACCTTATTTTAAAAAGGGGGGGAAAAAGCTCAAATTCATGCAATAAGGAACGAAAAAGCCTACATCACAACAGATCCTGTAGAAATACAGTAAATCATCAACACCTGTTTCAAATACCTCTACTCTCATAGGTTCAAAACACAGAAGAAATGGACAGTTTCCTAGAAACATATGAAGTATCAAAGCTGGGTCAAGAAGATGTAAAACTGCTGAATAACACTATACCTACAAAGAAGAGCCCAGTCCCAGACATATTCACTGCGGGATTTTACAAGAAATACAAAGAAGACTTAAGACTTAATGCCAACAGTCCTCAAACTCTTCAATGAAATCGAAAGGTAAGCAATTTTTCCTAAGTCATTCTTGGAAGCAAATATAACTCTAGTACCAAAACGTGAAAAAGAGCCAACTAAAAAAGAGAACTACAGGCAAATATCCCAAATGAACACAGATGCAAAAATCCTCAAATAAAATATTGGTGAATAGGATGCAGCAAATCATCAAGAAGATTATACACCATGACCAAGTGGGATTCATCCCAGGCATGCAGGGATGATTCAACATACATAAGCCAATAAACATAATCCATCATATCAATAAAGCAGAAAGTAAGAATCATATGATAATCTCTACAGATGCAGGAAAAGCTTTTGATAAAGTCCAGCACTCATTCGTGATAAGAACCATACAGAAAATTAAAATAGATGGTCTTTACCACAATATGATAAAGGCCATCTATGACAAACCAACAGCCAGCATCATAGTAAATGGCCAAAAACTGAAGGCCTTTACCTTAAAATCAGGCACAAGACAAGGGTGATACTTATCACTGCTCCTATTCAATATAGTACTGGAAATAGTAGCCAGAGCAATTAGACAAGTGAGAGAAATAAAAGGGGTAAAGATAGGAAAAGAGGAAATTAAATTATCACTATTTGCAGATGACATGATACTCTACATAGAAGACCCCCAAAACTCCACCGGAAGACTCCGAGATATAATAAATAAATTCGGCAATTTAGCTGGATACAAAATCAAGGCTCAAAAATCAAGTATTTCTATACATGAACAACAAAATTATGGAGATAGAACTAAGAAAAGCCACACCCTTCACACTAGCATCCAAAACAATTAAATACTTGGGAATTAATCTGATGAAAGAAGTAAAATATCTATACAGGGAAAGCTATAATACCCCAAAAAAAGAAATTGAAGAAAATCTCAAAAAATCGAAAGACATCCTTTGTTAATGGGTAGGGAGAATAAGCATTGTGTAAATGACCATTCTCCTAAAATTGCTATATTGATTCAATGCAATCCCAGTGAATATACCATCAACATACCTCTAGACCTATAGAAATCACTCCTAAAACTTATCTAGAACCAGAAGAGACCTAGAATGCCAAAGGCAATTCTAAGCAGCAAAGGCAAGGCACTAGGCATCACAATCCCTGACGAAGTTACAATATAAAGCAACTTTGATGAAATCAGCATGGTGCTGGATTAAATATAGATATGAAGATCAATAGAATAGACTAGAAGACACAACCACAACTACCAGCACACTCAACCACCTTGTCATTGATAAGGAGCCAAACATGTTCACTGGAAAAACTACAATCTCTTTAATAAATGGTGCTGGAAAAACTGGCTTTCCATATGCTGAAAATTAAAACTAGATCCATGCCTATCACCAAATACTAAACTAAAACCTAAATGGATCAAAGATCTGAATATTAAAACAGAAGCACTAAATCTGTTGGAAGACAAATTAGGTAAACATCTAAGACATAGGAGTAGGTAGAGAATTCATGAATAGGAATCAAACCATATGGGAACTACTTCCCAGAATGGATCACTTCCTGGGATCACATCTTATTAAAATGTTTCTGCATGTCAAAAGAAATCTCCAGCATAGTGAAAAAGAAAACCCACAAACTGGGAAAAAAATCTTAGTGACTGTCCCTCAGACAAAGGACTTCTATCTAAAACATATAAAGAATAAAAAAAAAAAAATCAGATCCCTGAAATTAAAGGACCCATCCAAAAGTGGGCATCTTAGATGATTACACAGTTCTCAGATGAAGAAATACAAATGGCAAATAAATACATGAAAAAATGTTCATCATCATTATTCATTAGAGAAATGCAAATTAAAACAACACTGAGATTTCATCTCACTCCAGAAATAATGGTCAGGATCAACAAAACTACCAACAACAAATGCTGGAGAGGCTGTGGGGAAAAAGGAACTCTCCTGCCCTGTTGGTGGGAGTGCAGACTGTTGCAACCACTATTGAGGTCATTCTGGAGATGTCTCAAAAATCTGGGATTGGAGGTCCCATTCAACCCAGCTATTCCACTTCTGGGCATATTCTCAGAAGAACTGAAAGCATCATACCACAGTGATATATGTGAACCCATGTTTATAGCAGCACA